ACCCTTGAGTCTGCGCTGACCCATGGCGGCCATACAGAAGAGAGTCGACTGCCCCGAAGGTTTCCAAGGGGGTAACCTTTCTGGAAGTAGACTGTCATGCCTTTCCACATTAGATTTCATGGTTTTTAATGTTTGGAGAAAACCTCTTTTTCTTCATGTCTCCATTGCTTGCGTGATCTCTTGGGCAGTAGACTTCACTTAACAGATTGCTCCGGTAGCGAAATGTTAGGCAGTGTTAGCTTTCTTTACTGAGGTCAGACGCAGTACTTAGGACTAAAGGTAGGGCACAGAACAGACTGCACAGCCCAGGCAGAAAAATATTACAAATTTCAAATACCTGACAATTCGATAAGCTGACAGAACAACCCCCACCCCCCGCCCAAATGAACTCAAGATTGAACAGGGACAATGAAAGACATTAGGAATGAAAATATTAACATGTTTAAAACCAAAGTGGATGCAATTAATAATGATGATTTTACAAGATTACATAAGTAAGATATAACACAAAAGGATGTAATTTACAATATCAATAGATCTCTTAAAGACAGGCGACGTCATAGTAGACCATATACCAATGGGCACTGACTTACTCTGCACATGACTGGAGTATGCCACTTTTGACACTGAGGAACAAGACACAAGGAAATGATCATGCTAAAGACCATTTGGAAAATACGCTAATGATTAAAGAGTTAGACAAAAGATCGGAATTGGAGACTTCTACTTTGAGAAAATTCTCCTTAATTTGAACGCCAGGAGTTTAGAATGTATGATAATTTAGTGGATCTCAGATTTTATGCTGCACATACTCTGTCTGCCTCAATGCCATCAAATTGATTCCACTTCATAGCTGCCCCTTTGGGTTTCTGAGTCTGTATTTAAAAGCCTCTCTTTCCTCTCACACATGTTGGTTGCATGTTTGAAGAAGAATGCCTAAATGACTTCACAATAGATGACTTTCAAGAAGCCTCCCATCCAATGCCATAAACATCACTGTACTTTTATGAAAATATTGGTATGAAATTCCTGTTGGCAGTGAGGTAGAAGCAGCAACCCAAATTCCAATTTCTCTACTTAGCCTCTCAAACACAATAACAAAACAACCCAGTAAATTCAATAAGAAGCACAAATGAGACCATTCCTGTACTTTTGTTTTATCATTACTAAGGGACCAAGAGTACCACAGATTTCATGGGATACATAGAAATAAAACAAAGGAGAACATTTTTTAACCCATTTATGCTTTTCACTGTACATTGGTTAGTCCAAGCTGAAGAGCCACTAGATAAGCCTAGTTATGTCTCTTAAATAAACTTCAACTCAGGGTTTTACTGTGGATTAAGTTTGGACTGATGTAGTGAAGATATGTGACATTTCTTAATCCTTCTGGATTCGTTTATACTAGCGTTATTTTAGTTTTTAAAAGCAGTAGTAAGTACCCTCTTTCTCTTTTGAAAAGATATGGATGTCATGAGACCCTTGATACATGAGCAGGACTTTGACGGGACGTCGGATGAAGAGCGTGAACAGGAGCTCCTGCCTGTCCAGAAGCATTACCAATTGGATGGTCAAGAGGGCCTTTCGTAAGTCTTATGGTTTATGCATGCCTCCTTTTCTTTTGATTCAGCGTACATTATTAATCTTTCATAGACAAGGACGGTATTTATTTAGGTACTACAGAAGTCACAGAGACAAGAAAGGGCTAGTCGCAACCCTCATGGAATTTATTGTCATTTTGAGAATGAAAAGAAATACGTCAGACTTCTGCATGACAGAGCAGTGTGTAGGAATTCCTACAGTGGGCATACAGATCAAATGCTGTGACTCTTGAAAGGAGGGTGGCTGATTGGATGGAATAGGAAAAAACGTTACCAGACGTAGCCTTTGAATGTAGGCCATAGGAGGTGGTAAACAAACGTGCCAGGAGTGTGCAGTGGACTGTGGGAACTTTTTTTTTTAAATCTTCTGGGTTTTTGTGTGAGTGTGACACTTGCCGTCACTAATGGAGTTCTTAACATAACGATGAAGCAAAGTGAAGCTTAATTGACTAGAGCTGTAAATGTTAAAAACAAATTTTATACAAACCTTTTTTGTTGTGTAAATGTGGTATTTTTCTTGATCAAGAGATTGCCTTCAAATGCCTCCTAGAACCACTTCTTAGTTTATATCTCTTAGCAACTTCATGGTGTCAGAAAATTAGTTAGGATTGATATTAACTCAGGGTATACAGAGTTGTCAAACTGGTATTTTGTTATCTTAATTAATTTTATCTATGATTGATTGATAATCCTAGATTAGATATGTGTTTTCCTTTTTTATATAGACAGTGCTACTAATAACTCTCTTACAAGCCTAATTATGTAATTGTCAACCTTGTTCTGAAATGAAGTGCCGAGGCACATCAGTTTTAGCCCAGAGTATCTTATGAGCACATTACTTTATTAATTTACTGTGTGTAAAGCACTTAATATCTCATCATTCTCCACAATAACTTGTACCTGACTGTGTGTGCAGTGGTAAAGACAGGACTTGGACCAAGGAGAGTTCTAAATTAGTGGTAAAGTGAAATGTTCCTGGGTTGCTTACCTAGAAGAATTCCCATTTCCCTTTTAAGGCTTGAACCATAGCCATGCGATTTTAATAGATTTTGTTCTACAATATTTTAAATCTGACAAATTTTACTTTTCAGGTTTGTACAAACTCTTATGCATCTTCTTAAAGGAAATATTGGAACTGGCCTTTTAGGACTTCCGTTGGCAATAAAAAATGCAGGCATAGTGGTAAGAACTACCTTCATAAATCTCCAGTTGAGCTACAGTAATTAATTAAGAAAGAGTAATCAATATAATTCACAGCAGACATTACTACAAGCTAATACCTGTCCTGACTTAGATATTTGGTCAAAAAAACTTGGTCAGATGACAACTAAGAGATCATTTAGCTGATGTATTTTACAGTTACACAAACTATTAAAATGATGTCCGACCTGAGAATTAATTATAGTTTTCATTTCTACTTAAATATTAATTTGAGAAACATGAACAAAATCTTAAAAACAGTGTTTGGTTTTCCCAGGAATGGTTACAGCTTATTAGATTTTCAGGGAGTTAGGCAATGTGTTCATTTCCACAAATAAATTTATAGCCCAAACCAAACCCATTGACCTCTAGTGAATACAACTCAGGCAGCCCCAGCCTTACAGCCTAGACTGTGCCGTAAGGCGAATGGAAGCAGGGGAGCACCGGGCACTGGTGGCTGGGTTCAAACTGCACACATTGCAGTTCTCTATTTATTTCCAAGCACAGTTGTTTGCACACAGTAAGGGCCTGACTAACAACCGGCAGAGAGTAGATTGCCACAGTCCCAGTTTGATATACTGCTTTTTAGCAAATTAGAATAATGATATACAGCTACATATAATGAAGGAACACCGGTAGGCATGGATTTGCCATCTGATGTTAAATGAAATGTTTCTTTCCTGCTTTTGCATATCTATTCTTTACATTCTAAGTGTTTGGACAGCCAAGTTAATTAAGTAGAATCCTAGGAGGTTTTCATAAGTATTACAAGAAATTCTTTCTGTATTTGAATTTATTAAGCTGCTTAAGCAAATAGCTAAACATGTTCAAATGATTAAATATTTAATCAGTCCAAACTAGTAGTTGTTTATTGTCTCATTGCTTTTCAGGCAACTACATTTTAAAAAAAATTGTTTATTTGACTCATAAATTTTCTTCCCCACAGCTTGGACCAATCAGTCTTGTGTTTATAGGAATTATTTCTGTTCACTGTATGCACATATTGGTACGTTGCAGTCACTTTCTATGTCAGAGGTAAATGTGGATTTGTTAAGTTTATTTTCATTTATAACTTCAGATACTCTTACATTCCTGTTGCTTTATGCTTAGAAGGTTTCTCCCCACCCCTGTAGTCTGTTATGTAGACAAGTCTTTGCTAATGTCGGAACACACAGTAGTACCTCATAGCACTTAAATATAGCCACAATTTGATTATATTCTTAAAATAATAGCCTTAGTAGCAAAAGGGAATCACTTCTTTTATTTATTATAAATGAAAAAATCAACAAAGCTATATGGGAGAAATGGAGGTAGCAAAATGATATTTAATTTGTTAGCGCTTCAGTTTGGGTTACCGTGCCCATAATCCCTTTGATGTTCTTTTATGAGTATATTGTTGGTTAGTCAATAAAATATTGTTCTTATGTATTATGGCTTGCCTGAATTGGCCAATGGTGCAACTGTATGTGTGTGTTAAGGATTACTTATTATAGTAGACTAGTCTTCTAATCTTGACATCTTTGTTTTGATGCTCTTAAAATTTTGGGCAAATCATTTATGATCCTTAAATAACCACGTGTATTTGAAAATACATAAAAGTAGAAAGGGTAAATAATACCTATTTAAAACTAACTGCCATCGAGTCAGAGCAAACTCATAGTTACCCTATAGGACAGGGTAGAACTGCCCTTGTGAGTTTTTGAGACTGTAACTCTTTACGGGAATAGAAAGTGTGTTAGTCTGGGTGGACTAGAGAAACAAATCCAGAGATACTCATATGTGTGTGAGACAGAGCTCTACATAAAAGAGCAATTGTGTCTTAACACATCCCAGCCTAGTCCAGATCAAGTCCATAAGTCTAGTATTAGCACATATGTCTGATACCAGCCTAAATTCCTCTTCAGACTCATGCAACACATGCAATAATGCCTAATGAAGGAAGATCACAGGCCAGTGCGTAAAAAGTCTTGTGGATCCAGTGGTGGTGGAAGCATCTCAGTGCTGGTGTGGGTCTTCACGTGGCTCCTCCAGCTCCAGGGTTCTGGCTGCCTCAGTGTAATGCCATCTGGCTTGTCATCTGGAATGGCTCTCAGAGAGACAAGCAGAGACAGTGTCTGGCCTCCAGTGAGTTATTTATCTCCATTGTGCCTCCAAATGAGGTCATCAAGCTGTGACCTGATTGACAGGCTAAAGTCCACCGCTTCGCAAGTTGACAGATTATGTAACTGCTACAGAAAGCTCCATCTTTCTCCCGAACCTATTTAATGATACCTCATTAATTATGATTAAGTGAGATACTTTATGTGAATATATGTTATAAAGCCCTCTATGATACAATCTCACGTGCTTTTAAAAACTGAATACTTTAAATGGGAACAATGTAGTTTATATTAAAGGAAAACAAAACATCTGTAGATAGATAAATTTTAAAAGTAAAAAGTAGTATGTTGGTAAGAAGAAGAGACATACAATTGAAAATCTTCATGAGATGTGCTTTAGGAGAGAGGGGTTGTATAAATCTTGACATTTTGAAAACTTCTCTGACATTGCATATTTCTGTGTTCATTATTTCTTGATGCTCTTTTAATGTATCATTTGATGGACCAATGAAAAGCTGCCCTTTGATAAGTGTTTCCTTACATCACAGGTTTAAAAAGTGCACGTTAGGTTATAGTGACACGGTGAGCTTTGCTATGGAAGTGAGCCCCTGCGCTTGTCTTCAGAAGCTGGCGGCCTGGGGACGGTAAGGACTTGCTATGTTACGAATGCTTACCCAGTTTTCCAGATGATTGATTTTCAGGTGTTTTAATCTGGCACGGTATGCAAATAGCAATATGGTGGAGGTGTAGAGTTGGGGAAATGACCACAAATAGCCTTGGCAGTTCAACAGCTATCAACCCTAGAAAGAAGGACGGCGGGGAATGATGACCCCCGGATGTGGGAAGGGGCTGTTGCATTGTGGGGATTGTACTCAAGGTCACAACATAAATCGTGTATGGATTGCTGGATGGAAAATCAATTTACTCTGTGAACTTTGGCCCAAATCACAATATCCTGTTTTGAAAAAATCCGTTCTACCAATTTCTACTCTTTGACCTCATCCAATGATTTGTTTTGGTTTTATTTATTGTAACTGAAAAAAGTCACGAGATGAGATATAATAATACCCATATTATAGGCTAATATGATGGTAGATTAATTGATAGAAAGGTAAGTCAAAAAGTATTGCTATAAAATAGAAAACCGTGTTAAACAAAAAGAAAATGTGAAACTTATTTCTCAATATATCTTTGATTTCAGTCTCTACTCTTCTAATGGTGGTATTTCCATCTCTAACTTTTCCTTGAAGTGCTTTGCACTTGTTGATTTACACCACATCAAAATGGCAGTTTGGGCATCTTCAAGGGACTCAAGTCATCCCCCACCCCCGATATTTTGTTTGAGCAACAAAAACAAGTCTGTAGGGGCACAGTCAGTGGCATAGGGTGGAAGATAATATTTTTTTTACAGAAGTCTCATAAAATATCCCTTACTACCCTTGAAGAATGAATTGATAAAATCATGATTTTTTAAAAAATTCCTTGACTCAACATTCTTGGCCTTTTTCTTACCAGTGCAATTTTTACTTTTCTTAAAACCTCTTCATAGAAATCTCCTGTGATCACCTTGTGCTCTCTAAGAAAATCTATCAAGATTATTACCTCTTGGGAATAGCAAAAGGAGTTGCCATAACCTTTTCTGCTAACTTTTGAATTCAGGTGGCCAGCAGATCCCTTCAAAGCAAGTCCTTGGATTGGACCTTGCTCTCTGGGTTGTGTTGGTACTGTAAAACTTGTCCCCAGTTACAATATGTTTAATAAACCCATCTTCATTAGCTTCAATCTTGCTGTAAAAACTGATGGAAATACCAGCTATTTGTGCTGGTTGACCTTTGTGTAACACCTATTTATACTGTCCCTCTAAGAAATTGTTCATAGGGAACCCTAACAAGACGAAGATAAACATATTACAGAGGTAACTTGTCTACAGCCATCCTCTGGTAGGAGAGACATGTTTAAACATGTTTTGTGTGGAGTAAACTTGTGCATATGTGAACTGGTACCCTAGCAGCAATATTTTTTGACTCACCATGGAATGTAGCCTTTCTCAGGATCTTTAGGATGTTAGATTGGTTGATGAACTTTCCAACGTACTGATAAATTGAGTGTGAGAAAGGGGAAACAAAACCTCATGCCTTAGGGACTTGTCTCCAGACTCCGAAGCCCCTTCCTCTACCTCAGCCTACAGACAGCTTTTTCTGCTTGCTTGTTTGTTTGTTTTCATGAAGAAGAAGGGATTTCAGAGAACCATGTCTGGAACAGCTGTGGGTGGGCGACTGACAAGTGGCTGCAGACGTAGTAAGAGGACCCATAGATGTCCATCTTCAGAGAGAGGGGACTTGACTTCAAGATACCAAGATGACTTGAGACCCCACACGAGCCCTCGGGAATTCCGGAGAACAGAAGCGTTACAGCAAGAATGAAGATGAGCAAGACCCTGCCAATTTCAAATGGGACAAGGAGAGTCTGTAGAGTAGAGACTAGATTGCTTGACAGCTTGACAAGACATTAGAATGAAAGGAACGAAGTAGTCAGACAAGAAACTAGAGAGAAATAGTAAGTGTCCGCTGTCACAGTGACTGCTCCTGAACACACGGAGGGAGCTGGGCGGTGCAGCGCTCACCCAGGTGGATTTGTAGCTTGTTTACCTCCCATACCCCAGGAGTGTGCATTTGACTGGTGATATCCCTTCTGTATTCTGCTGCATTCTTGTTCATAGATTACAAAATTCAGACTGTCTTATTGAAAAAAACAAAACAAAAGCCACTGAGAAAGTCTCTGGTGGTGTGCTTTGTCCCATGTCCCAATTCTCTCCGTGACAGAGCCTTCTCGTTTACTTGGGCAGTGGAGGGCAGGCTCCTCATATCTGCCAAGGACATGAAGCTGTTCGCATAGGCAATAGACTGGGCTGGTCTGAAAGATGTCTTTCAGAAGTAGAAGATGTGGGCTTAGTCTAAGACATGAAATGTTTTTATGAAGACATTGTTTAAGCATATACTCACTCGTGCCTCATCAAGTGAACTTCAGAAACAGATAATGTTGGGAGAATCTTGGTCTAATAGAACATTTTTTTGCTCTGTAATCATTCTAGTGATAAACGTATTGGTCATAAATGTAGGTCCTTATGGAAAATGAATCCTTTAAATGTGTTTTCTTTTAAGCATACAATATATATGACTATCATATGTTCATAAGCAGTTAACAAGAGATATAAAATATGTGGGCATTTCTACAGGCCGTATTGAAACTTGTTTTTTGGGGTCTCTTTTCAGGAGTGTGGTTGACTTTTTCCTGGTGATAACCCAGCTGGGATTCTGCAGTGTTTATTTTGTCTTCTTAGCGGAAAATGTGAAGCAAGTGAGTATCTTCCTTCAGTTATTGAAGTTATTTTCCTATCGTTTCTCTGTTGTCCTGTTTTCTCCGTGGAAGCCATGTTTGGGTATAAAAATGTGTTCTTTTCATAAATGATGTTCCTCTGTAGACTTTCCTTTCATCTTCTCTTTTGCAAGTTGGATTTCTGTTGTTACTGATTTTATTGCGCTTCATAATATCAGTTACTCTTGTTCTTTTCCATCAGAATAAGATATAAGTACTGATTCCTAGTTACTGAAATTTTACATCTCAAAAGCATACACAGGGGAGTTTGGGGAGTCTTTCTTTGATACCAGTGTCATGTAAAGACACTGCTTCAGCCAGCAGCCTAAAAAGTAGAAGAAAAAGGAAGGCATTGCTCAAATGCGTCCTTGTTTAAAGAGACTTGGAGTCAAGAATGGACCCTTGTTTGGAGGCCGCTGGGAACAGTAGCCTACAGCCATGGTAGCAACTGGCAGGCTATCTGAGCAAGGAAGCAAAGCAGTGAAATCAAAGTTCCATCACTCACAGTTATGCCAGTCTTTTTTTTCCTTTCTAATTTTTGTATTGTTTTTATTGTTCCTAAATTACTCCAGGCTTTTCTTTAATGATTATTTTCAGCAATAACATTTATCTATTATCTGCATGTGCATGGTGAATAGTCAGGGTATTTTGTGGGTATTTTCATGCAGAATGGTGTTATAAATATATTTTCTAAAGAACCTATATTATATATAAGGCTCTCTTTTCATGACTTTATATTTAGATGAAATGTCGACAAATATATTCTATAGAAGCCCAGATAATAAATATTCTCAGCTGCATAGGCCATGTGTTCTTTGATGCAGCTGCTCAATTTAGCCCTAAATGATGCACAGGTAAATAGGTATGGCTGTATCCCAATAAAGTTTTATTTGCAAAAAGGAGTGGTAGGCCAGATGCAGTTTGTGCGCAGTATGTGTGTTGAGAGTGTCCCTGCGAGCTCTATTCAAGGCACTACTTTCGAGTTTCCATGTTTGTAGAGTTTAGTTGAATTCTCTTTTATAAGTTATAAGTTTCTCTCACAGGGCTCTGTCTAGTTGGTATTCAGGGTTTGTACTGTGTCTGCTCCCTTGGCCCTGCCATCTGGAAAAACGGTATCTCTGGAAAACTTCCGCATTAGTTTAGATGGTGTCGGTTCTCCGTCTGACTTTCCCCTCTCCTCGTTCCTGTCCAGATTAGAATGCATTGCGGCTTCTTCTGCAGCATTTTAAAGATCAGGCCCAGTCATCCTTAAGTAGCATTACTGTGGAAGTGAATTTTCACCACTAAACCACAAGCCCCACGAGGGACGTGGCAACTGTGTTCGCGTAGCACCTCAGAGTAGCTGGCATAGCATAGGTACTCAGTATGGCGATTGCATTGGCAGGGAAATGAATGCACTACACCTGGAGGCCTCCTTAGCCAACTGACTGGAAGAGGTGCATATCTGTACCCATTCTAATGAAAGGTGGCCCAACAGAACGCTCAAACTATAGAACAATATCACTGTTATCACAGGCCAGCACTGTTTTGCTGAAGACCAGCACCGGGTGCAGCAGTACATTGACAGGGAGCTTCCACAGGCTCCGGCACGATTCTGAAGAGTACGTGGAACAAGGGTTATCAATGCGGATGTCAGATGGATCTTAACTGAAAGCGAAGAATACCAGAAAGATGTTTATTTGTGTTTCATTGACTGTGTAAAGGTATTCTGCTGTGAGAATCATAACAAACTGTGGATGTCCTTTAGAAGACTAGGAATTCTGGGACATTACCTTGTGCTCATGCGGAAGCTATACATGGATCAAGAGGCAGCTGTGCGAGACCAGAACAAAGGAATGTTGCATGGTTTAAAATCAGAAAGGTGTGTGTTAGGGTTGTATTCTCGCCTCATATTTATGAATGTGTGTGCAGAATAATTTGAGACGCTGGACTAACAGCTGTGACATGCAGATGACACACCTTGCTTGCTGAAAATGAGGGGGACTTGAAGCACTTGCTGATGAAGATCAAGGAGTGTAGTTTGGATCCCTAATCAGTGCTCATGGAAGAAGAGTCAAGGGATCAAAAGAGGCGTTGCATTAGGTAAACCGGCTGCAAAAGACCTTTTTAGAGTATTGAAGCACAGGATGCTGCTTTGAAGATCAAGGTGTGCCTGACCTCAAACATGGCATTTCCATCACCTCATATGCATGCGAAAGGTGGACATGGAATAAAGAAGACTGGAGAAGGGATTGATGCATTTGAATCGTGGTGCTAGAGAAGAATATAGAAAGTACCACGGACTGCTCAAAGGGCAGGCAGGGATGGTGAGACTTTGTCTTACATACTACGGACATGTTGTCAGGAGAAAACAGTCCCTGGAGAAAGACGTCCTGTTTGGTAAAAGAGCGAGGTAGTGAAGGCGAGGGAGGCCCTCTAGCAGTGACACCATGGTTGCAGCAATGGGCTCAGCATAGCAATCATTGGGAGGATGGCGCAGGACCAGCCAGGGCTTCGTTCTGCTGTGCACCAGGTTGCTGTGGTTTGGAACTGACTCAGTGGCAACAAACAACAAACCTGGAGGGATTGTTTCTTTCGAATTTCTGTAGTATTTCGTTTTCTTTTCCATTTTTTTTAAACAGCCCTGTACCTGGTTTAAAGTGCTCAATTAATTTTGTTGTCTGAATGACTTTAACTCTTCTGTTCGGTTTTCTTGTTGACCTCAACCTTGCTCAAACACTTTCTCAATCCTTGTCTGTCAGCCCCCTCCCCATGGTGGTTTTTAGTTTTTGACACCCATGCTCATCCCTCTCACCTGCAGTAAAAGGAGTGGGACACAGATTGGGTTTGTGACTTCTGGCCGTTCTCATGAGGGTGCTCTTAGATACTGTCTCTGAGATCCTCGATGCATTTTATAGTTTTTCCCTCCAGCCTGATTTTACTTCTTTTTCCAAATACTGGACTTCCACAGAGTATTTATTCTTCTTTCCCCTTTCCTAGATGTTTACAAACAATTAAATTCTTGTACAAGATTTTCTGAAGGAAAATCCTTAAGTTTCGAAACATCATTATTCAGATACAGGTGTTCCTCAAACACAGGGTTCCTATTTCTTGGTCTCTTTCAGCCCGAGACTAGTGCAAGCAGAGCTAGGACCTAATTTTCCCACAATCGTAGTCCTGCCCTAGAAACGCGAGAACACTCAGCCTTGTTTATGCTGCTTTTGTTTATCAAAATAAAGCTTCAGTGCTTCCATTGTCTCTATCCATTACAGACGTGTGCGTTTGATCTTACCAATGTTTTTAATGCCGCCAGTCGTCTGGTCCTAAGACTCCTGCCTCCACCATGGGGAGGAGACAAGACAGAGATGATTTCTGTAGACTACATGGGGGAGATGCCTTTGGGAGTTGTACAACCTAATCATTGTGACTTTTTCACTCTTTTCTAGCAGAGCTGCCAGCAAGCCTCTGAATTGATGAATGATGCTAATAATTAATGCCTTAGAACCTTATATTTTGTAGCTGTGACACCTATCATTTAATCATTACAACTACTCTGTGAAAGAGGCACTCTGCTCATTTTATGAATGAGGAAACTGAGTCTCACAAAGCACTGTCTAGGACAGTGAGCTAAAACCTAAGTTTCTCACACATGTGTTAATTGTTTATCCCGCAACAGAATATTGTTTGTTTTAGTTTGTGTATGTCATACAGATTAGATAAAATGGATGGAAGAAATGTCTGTGTTAAGATTGGTGACTTTTCCTGTGAAATATTATCAGTTGCTTTCAGAGAGGGGAAAAATGCCTACCAAGCCCCATAGAAAAAGATATGCAGTTCGTGCTTAAGGAAGAACACATCATCTGGACACAGAAGGTAGACAGTCACCTGTGCTGGGTGAGATCAGAGGTTTCCTCCCACTCTGTAGAATTCAGGGCTTAGGTACCAGGCAGACATGGAAGCCTGCTTTATTACTGCTGCATGGTATTTCTTGGTCGCATTAAGCCACCAGGCAAGTGCAAGGAGAACTAGAAACTAATTTTTCCTACAATCGTAGCCCATCTTTCTTCTAGAAGCGCCTCTTTGTTCACACTGCAGGACACTCTAGAAATGCTCACTGAATAAAATAGTGTCTGTGGCTATGGGGATGGGATATTACATTAAAAGAAAAAAATGTGCTGGTATCACATCATAGCCTTTAGTGTCTGGAGATAAGAGTTTAAATATATGTTCTGTCAGTTTTAACGTCAACATTGGGAAAGACTCAAACCAAACTCACTGCTATCAAGTCAACTCTTAATCCTATCGCCCCTGGAGGACAGGGTCTGACGGCCCCTGTCGGTTTCCAAGACTGTGACTAACTCTACAAGAGTGAAGCGAGTTGTCTACTTGTCTCTCTCCTGTTGAACGGCTGATACGTTCGAACTCCTAACCTTGTGGTGGTAGTAGAACTACTACGCCATCCCCTGAACCCCGCTTCATCCTCAGTTTCCTTATTTGTAAAATGGGGCCAATAACAAAATCTCCCCTCGTTTATCTTGAAGATATTTTAAAGCTCAGCTGACCAAAAGTTTGTGCAATCAGTTGTAAAATGTCAAACAATATGTAAATGTAGGGTACTGTGACCCTAATTTTGCCTTCGGATTTGCCAAAGAACATAATCTGCCTTTGGAATTATAACCATTTAAATAACTGCATCAATCAAAAGTAAATAAATAGGGGGTTTTAGTAAGCTTCAGCTCTCAGTGGAGTTTAGTAATTTTATTTTATAACATTTATTTCAGTGTTTTACATTTTGGTAAACATGTGAGATCATAGGAAGTCCTATTAGATAGCCCATCTCTGTCTCTAGAGGGCGCCAAAGGGCTCAAATGTTTACCTGAATCTTGCTCTAGGTATGTATCTCCATCTTTATTTTACTGTAGTTTTTAATCCTGAAAATTTTATACATGTCTTTCTCTCAAAGAATATTAAAATGATTTGAGGTCCTTGTGATAGAATTACATTGCACAATAGCTGAAAATTCTACTATTTTGTTAATTGATTCTGTAACTGCTTTGCTTCCTGCCAGGAATCCTTGCTGGAGCTCAACTTGAGTGGTCTGATTTAATTGTTAGGTACTGCATTGATCAGAAGTTCTTGGCTCTACATAGTTTGATTATTGAGAAATTACACCAATGAATAAAACATGTTCTTAAAATCCAAGATAGTTGAATTATTTTGTTTTCTATTTCTAAATTCAAAAAGTAAAATTTTAAAAATGATGGCAAAATATATGGTATGTGTTTTTAAATGGGTCCTGGTGTTACTTGAGAGTTTCTTAATCCAGTATGGGTTATAATTTGTCTTCATAGCTTGCTCTGTTTATTAGCAGTTTCCTGCAACCTAAGATGATATGTAAATTTGCACTGCCGCTGATAATCCTTTCCTTGGATTTTAAGTTTAAAATTTATAGAAACACTTGAATTGTTCATCATATCAGAATTTTGTTGGCCTTTCGGTAGACATGCTTAATACATTTAGAAAGATGGCAAAGAGGAGGCCTGATGGCTTCTTGGGCCAGCCCCCCTTTTAGAGATAAAATGTAGCTGTTAAAAGCTAGAATTTGTATCCTCAGATTTGCATTTGAATTTTAGAACCACCACTTTCTGGCTTGATAGTGCGATAGTGATTTACCTACTCTAAACCTCAGTTTCCTCAATTATAAATTGTAATTACTAACACCACCCTACCCCAGAGAGGTGTTTTTAGGATTAAATGAGATGTTGCATCTAAGGCAGTATTTGTTGCATATAACACAATATCTGGCATATAGAAAAAAATTTTTTTTAATGCTAGCTACTTTTATTGTAGGGTTTGGCTCTTAGGAACTTGTATGCCCAGAAACTTGGTAATGTCTGGATACTCAAAAGAGGCTACAGTGTTCGGGGGGAAATAGGTTTTCACTGGTATTTAAATTTCAACATGATTTGCCCTTTGTTGTAAGTTTCAAAGATTGTTTTTATTGTCCTCTATAATTTCATTCTTATTTGAGTAAACTGGATTTATGACTAATTTACTCAGAGATAATTTTAGTTAAATAGCCCTGATGAGTCATTCTATCTCTTGAAAATTGAAATTGGGTTATAAAAGTGGCTAAATATGCTGACAATAGATGAGTATAATGGGTGAAATTGGTTTATCTTATGGGAACTTTTTTTTTGGGGGGGGAACTTTTTGATATAGGAAAAAACTTGTTTACTATGTAGCATGTAACCATGCATGAACCTAGCAGATCTGTAATATTATTTTCACACGTGATGATAATTTATTTAAAATTTGCCCTATAAAACACATTTGAAGTTAGGCCATCATTTTAAAATTTTATTTTCAATGCAGTGCATTTCTAAGAGGTGCTTAGAACTTGTTTATTACTCTGAGGAAAATAAGTTAAAGTAGAATATCCAAAATTGCCACTTTAGGTAAGTATGCTTCCAATTTCAATGATTTCAAAAGATCGCCAGGGCCATGAGCTTGATGGATAACCATAAACTTAAAGATAAACAAGGAAATCCATCCTCATACTTTTCTAATCAAATTTATTTTCACATCCAAAAATAAGTTATTTTTCAAGGAAAATAAATATAAGTATATATTTATAAAATCTAAGGGTAAAGTAAGATAATTTATACATATATATAATCTTATATGTCATATACAGATATATGTTTCAGGAAGCCAGAACTTTGGAAAAGTAGAAATAATTTCTTTGGATTGAAAATTGTATCAGGAATTTATCCTAAAATGTATAGATCATAATATTCTTTAGACTTTGATGAAAGTTTTTTCTTCTTTCTTATTCTCCCAATATTCCTATGCAGATTCATGAAGGATTCCTGGGGAGTAAAATGTTGGTTTCAAACAGTACCAGTGTACCTCACTCGTGTGAGAGAAGTGTTGACCTGAGGATATATATGCTTTGCTTTCTCCCATTCATAATTCTTTTGGTCTTCATTCGGGACCTAAAGAATCTGTTTGTGCTTTCGTTCCTTGCCAACATTTCCATGGCCATCAGTCTTGTGATAATTTACCAGTATGTCATTCGGGTAAGTATAATATGTATTAAACTGAAAATCATGTTTGTTTGTTTTTATATTAGTAAAAGTTTTGTTTGCTTTGGAGGTAAAAGGAATGCTATGTAAAGACATTTACTTAATATCTGGTACATAGTAGATGGGCCAGTAACTGCTGCTTTCCTGGTGAGAGAGATTGCTTTAACGGAAGCGTGTTTGACAAACAGATTGAAAACAGGCTTTGTGAGTGTCTCAGGAAGTTGTAATATCTCCCTAGTATAGTTGTGAGATTTAGGATTGAGCTGTTGGTACAATAGCTAACATGGAACAACGAGCTCATTCATTGTCTTTATTCCAAGAAACTAGTATAATAGTTCCATAATTGTCTTTCGCTGTGCTGCCACCACATCAATCCACCTCCACTACACAGACTAACCTCTTTATCTGAAGCACAGCGCATAACAGTCTTAACTGATTATGGTTGTTTGTAGTCTGGCTTGTAAGCTGGTTTCCTTAGAAGAATATGTTGATGGGCTTCAGGGAATCTGCAGGTTCATTAAAGTTGCTTGTAAGGTTTTCTATTCCCATTTAACATATGCATTCCTGCTCCCTGCAAGGGCGCAGTGACCCCCAAAGCGTGGACATCCCTATCCCCTTCTCTCCCGAGCTAGTCCATCTGGTGTGCTGCTGACAAAGCAATGGTTTTACAATCCCTCTCAATATGCATTTCAGACTCTCATGGTGGATTGGTCATCCCTGCAGCCTGCATCCAAATTCCAGAGCCTCTAGTCTTCCTCTTTTTGCACATAGATTTGTTTGTTTGCTTTCAATTAAAAAGAGTTGGTCATTTTGAGTGGGAAGTTTTTATATTTTAATGCCAGCTCCATCACTTAGTGGGGTTTTTACAATGGGCATATTATATGACTTCTTTAAAGTTCTGTTTGCTCTTCTGCAACATGAGGATTATAATACTTCATTATTAATTTAACTCAAAGTTGTCAGGAGGGTTAAATAAAATAAAAGGTGTATAATGTTTTCAGTAGATTATGAATTGGGGAAGGGTATGTTCTATATGAATTAGGAAATCTTAATTCCCCCCCCCCTTAAGACAAAATATAAAATCTTAGGAAGTAGGGAAGTAAAACAGAGTGGAGATAATTGTAGATTTCTCTGGTGGGGATTATTGCATATTGCACCAATGACAGTCCTTAAATGGGTAGAGTTTTGCCAGAATTGAGAGGAAAAATCTTAAAGGGCTGTAAGGACCATGCAGATGGAGTGGAGAATGAGTTACTATTGGGCATGAACAGCAGTGTAAGTCTTGATAACTGGGGACATAGCTCTCAGCTCAGAGTATGCTTATATCTTTCCTGTTGTAGCAGGAACCATTTCCTCAACGTCAGCAGCCTTGAAGGTGGAAACAGGTCATCAGGAGCATTTGGCTCAGATGGAATGTGTGGTCAGTCATGAGGGAAACTATTGCTTTTGGCAGTGAATCCTAACAACGTAGCTATACTTAACACAGGATGCTTACTATGTGTATTAAAAAGGATTATTCACTTTTATAACATGCATCTTCTGTTGTGAAGCTCAGAAGTATGTGGTTTTGCTTTCTTTCTAAATTCTTTAAAATAAGTAAAAGTGTAACCGCTCTTTTTTTTTCTTTCTTTCATTCTTCAGAATATGCCAGATACTCACAATCTTCCAATAGTGGCTGGGTGGAAGAAATACCCACTTTTTTTTGGTACTGCCGTATTTGCTTTTGAAGGCATAGGAGTGGTAAGGACTTAGTCTTCATTATAATTATAATTTTTAATTTTAAGTAAGCAAAAAATAGCCAGACTCAATATCTCGTATGTTTTTCTTTGCCTCTTTTGTTGTCAGGTTTTGTATTTCTAGAGCATGATTTGCAGGTCTGTGTAATAGACTTGAATTATAGTTGTTTTTTCTACTAACCCAGAGCTTAATCTCAGACATATCACTGACGTGCTCTAATTCTCATCTTTATTTCAAAATGGAAAAATTAGGCTTACTGATTTTTTGTGGAAATTTTCAAACATTTACAGAAGTCCGAAGAATAGTATTATGAGCGCCTGTGTACACTTCATCCTGCTCCAGTAAATCATCCCTTCCTGGCCAGTTTGGGCTCTATCTAAGCTATTCACACAACTCCAGAGTATTCTCAAGCACATACCAAATATCATGTTTAATACTCTCAATGATTTCACGATGTGTGCTGAAATTGTTACAAAATCAGTTCCATTTAGAGTTTGGGGGCTCATGCTTGCTTTGAGAAGCAAAGTTACCCTAGAGCTCATCCCACGGGGTACAAGTGTGCGGAACATTTGGAGACTGCCGTTCCAGAGGTTTCCATTATTGTAAGCCTCTGTTTTGTGGATTGGAGGGAAACAGAACATTCTGTTTTCTCAGCTCCAGAGCTGTGTTTCTTACTCTAATGGTTTGGTGTGGGAACAGAAACACTTATAAACGTTTATGTATATGAACCTCAGGCAAAATCGATCTCAAGGGTAATTTAAAAAAAAAAAAATTTTATTAGGGGCTCATACAACTCATCACAATCTGTACATACGTCATCTGTGTCCAGCACTTTAGTACATATGTTGACTTCATCATTCTTACTACACCCACTTTCCACTTGAGCCCCTGGTGTCAGCTCATTTTCCCCCTCCCTCCCCCCTCCCCCCGATAATTTATAATTTATTATTATTTTATTATATCTTACCCCATCCCACGTCTCCCTCACCCCCTTCTCCGCTGTCCGTCCCCCAGGGAGGAGGCCGCGTGTAGACCTTGTCCTCTGTTCCCCCTTTCTCCCTCTCCTTCCCTCTACCCTCCCGCCATCGGCACTCTCTCCACTGGTCCTGGTGGGGTTCATCTGTCCTGGGTTCACTGTATTTCCACTTCCTATCTGTGCCAGTGCACCTCCTCCGGTCCAGCTGGATATGTAAAGTAGAATTGGGATCATGGTAGTGGGGTGGAGGAAGCATTTAAGAATCAGGAAAATTGCATATTTCATCGTGATTACACTGCACTCCGATTTGCTCCTCACCTCCCCGCAGCCTCCAGGGTAATTTTATGCCACTTTATTTACTTGCGTTTCTGTTCTCTCTCCGTTCTTCTTCAGAGAGCTGACAGATCCGCAGGTCCCCTGATCTCATGATCACTGTGGCAGTGGGAACTACAGATTTCCCCCTCTGCCTTTAACTAGCGAGCCTCTCATCAATTACTGGACATCCCCATAATTGTTCTCTTGACATCTCAAGTTCATCACATCCAAAGTCAGACCCAGTCTTTCTCATCCCAAGCCAGCTGTACTTCCTCTTTTCTCCTTTTTTCATTTTTCTTTCAGTCACTTGAGCTTGAAACTAAAGATACGTTTTTTTACTCTGCCCTTGGTCCCTGTTCCCGTCAGTAATTAAAGCATGCTCTCTTGTCCTTCCCGTATTCCATGTCTGAACTGTACCCATAACACCGGGCTGTCCTCTGCTCGTGTTGGTGCTTCCGTGGAGTGACTTACCTGAAGAGTGAGGAAATTACCAGTGTTAGTGTCTTTTGAGCTTGTGCAGACTGTGATTGGCTACATGCAAGGCTTGCAGCCTTGGTCACAGCCTCGAGCGGACTCAGAGACAAGGGAACCAAACGTGATGTGGTATTCTGAAACAAGTAGGTTTCCAAAATAAAACGAAGGAGATGAGTGGAAGAAGAAAAGAATCCAAATCAAGAGGGAAGTTTAGTTACTTAGCGAATGGCGATGTGCTGGTCCCTGGGGCACACGCACCAAGCTTGGGTCAGTGGCACATGGGGACTCTATGTTGTCTTTTACGACTCTCTCTAAATGTGAAATTATTCTAAAATAAACTTGACTTCAAACGAAATGATGGGAAAGTTTATTAGCTAAGATCCATTTCAAGTTGCTTTATTTGAAGAATTAAAAGTACATAGTTTTAAAATATATGCAGCATATATAAAAATATTTCAACAACTATGTGTTGTTATTTTAAAGGAAAAATGATTTACTTGTAAACTACAGAAAGCCAATTGTATAATTCAAGACTCTAGGTTGTTTTGATTTACTTCAATTACATGTAGTATCATGTTCTCTTTAAAGAAATCATTGCATTCTTGTCTTAGGTCCTCCCATTGGAAAACCAAATGAAAGAATCCAAACGCTTCCCCCAAGCGTTGAATATCGGTATGGGGATTGTTACCACTTTGTACATAACCCTAGCAACCTTAGGGTACATGTGTTTCCAGGATGCAATCAAAGGCAGCATAACTTTAAATCTTCCTCATGACGTGTGGTAGGTGAATGAGTTTGCTAATCCCAGTTTATGCTTTTGTGATTATAATTTGCCAATACTTTAAGGTAAAAATGCATTCTTATATTTATGGTTTAAATGGTAACTTCTTACTGTAATTTATTTTTATAGCAGAATCATTTCATCATCTTCAGAGGAGACCATGTGTGAATTCACAGATCCTTGTTTGATTTTGTAAGAGATACAGTACAAATTGTAGTATGCTCCAAATTTGAGTGAATTATAGGAATAAAACTTGGACTCCTTTTGATATAAAGGAATTTAATAAAACATAAAAAAATTAATTTTTGTTGCCAAAACAAAACTACACACTGTTTTCCCAATAATATACCTCATGGTTTATTATCATCATTATTTTACTGGTAAGGAAAATATGTACCTTAAGACTTTTTAGAAAAGAGATGGGGCACATCAATAAATAAATAAGATAAAGTGGTACATTTTAATGTTCTCTTGAATATTAGAATATTCTGCCAAGTGACTATGAGACTGCTTTGCCAAGTGAAGGAATATGTAGGATTTTCCCTTCTGTCAGAGGTTGGTCTTTCGGAATTTAAGAAAGAAGTTGACAGTGATTACCATGTGGACTGACTTCCCTACTTACAAATGGAACTCATTAGTGTGGGTGGATGGGAAGAATAAATGCTAAATGGCTGTTTCTCTAACGGCAGGCAGCTCCGTTTGCTGCTTAGATAGACTTCTGGGAAACCTTCCATGTCTCACCAGACTGGTGAATACTGGCGCAACAAATAATGTCTTCTGACCCGCCTCCTGAAGAGGCTCGTGCCCTGTTCCTTCACCGTTCAAACCCTGGGCCTGTCTGGGGCCTGCATGGGATACAAAAGGTCCTGGGACAAATGTAGGTAGGAAGCCATTTATGGCAGGTCGTTTCTAGGAGAGAGTCTTGGTTGCACACAGCACACAGATGTGTTGTACTTGTCTTTTTAGTTTTACTTTAGTATGGTATATTTATAAATTTAAGATTTATAAATTTTTCGAATATATAAATTTGACTCAAGGTGGGACAGACTGGGGTGTGGGGGAAGGAGCTGATACCAAGGGCTCAATAGAAAGTAAATGTTTGGTAAAAAATGATGGCAACATATGTACAAATATGCTTGATACAATTGATGTATGGATTATAAGAGCTGGAAGAGACCCTAATAAAATGATCTTTTAATAAACAAAAAGAGAAAGGAAAAGATGGGACAGACTACACAGTAGTTAACAGTTGCTTGTCATGCGTTTCATTAGCCCATAGTTTAGGGTCTCTGTGCACCAGAGCCGACTCAGTGGTACCTGACCACAGCCACGTAGTTGATTGTCAAGGTTCAGTTCCTTCAAATGTGCTCTTTAAAATAAATAGTGTAACAGTTGATAACATGCACTGGAACCTTATATAGCTTAATATAAAACAGACTAAATAGGATTGTGAAATTATGCAAAGTCTGTACAAAGCAGTGTAGTATTTTCTGAAATAACTAAAGATGCAATTGTCATATGAATCAGCAATTCTACTGCTAGTGATCTACCCAAGAGGCTTGAAAACAGGTACCCACAGATAACTTACACACCAGATTTCTTTGCATAGCCAAAAGATGAAAATGTATCCTTCAACAGATGAAAGCCAGTGCCAGCAAGTGCAGACTAATTCATAGTTTCTCTATAGGACAGAGTAGAAGTTCTGGGGGGTTTCAGAGCCTGGGGGTACAGACTCTAACTCTGTACAGAAGTAGACTGCCACCACACCATTCTCCTGCAGAACAGCTGGTGGGTTTGAACCACTGGCTGCGTAACCACTGAGCCACCAGGACTTTTCTTCCATAGTACAATCAAATATTATCCAGCCATAAAGAGACATGAATTTCTGATACATGCTATGATATAGATGAACCTTCAAAACATTTTGTTAAGGGAAATAAGACAGAAACCAAAGGATAAGCATTGTATGATCCCCTTTATGTAAATATCTAGAATATCTAGAGACCAAAGATTGCTAGTGGTTTGACATAAATTACTAATTATTAATTTAGCTAATAGACTTTCTTTACCAACAAGGAAGTCCTAAATTGGAAAAATTTGCATGGGACTAGCTGAATTAAAAATGGGATGTGGAGTTCCTTGGGCTGGCAAGAGAAGGTTGAAGAGTGCAGTGTTGTGTGTTGAGTTTTTGTGTGCACGTGAATGCCACATCATGATGAACTCTTCTAGGTGAATGAATTCAGTTTACTGCTCTCAGTTTCTCTAGAAGTTTATGGCATTTAAACCAGAGCAGGAAGAGATTTCGTTTATACCAGTATTATAATGGAAACTGTTGAGATTTGAAGATAATCATTGAGTATCGATGATATAGCTAGTTCTCAAGAGATCATAAAGTAGCGAATAGTAGATATTTAGGTTCTGCCTTACTGAGTCTCTTTGGTTGATAGTATATATATTATTGAAGCAAACATATTTTGCTACTTTTATTCATTTTTGTGACACTGCTTTCCTTTTACTTGCCTGTGGCACAGCACACTATAGGATTCCTCGTGGCACAGTGCTTTAGCATGTGGCTGTTAACTCAAAGATTGGCGGTTCAATCCCACCAGCACCTCTATGGGAGGAAGTTGGAGCAATCTGTGTATCTAAATATGACAGCTTTTAAAACCCCAGGGGGCATTGCTACACAGGTCTCAATGGGTGGTTATGGGTCTGAATTGACGTGACAGCAGAGTTGCTTGATGCTGACTTGACCCGACAGACAAACTGAGAATGAATCAATTTACGTTTACCTTTCAGCTTGTTCATTTGCTTTCAGTTACTGGCTTTTCAACTTTAAAAAATATAACCCACAGTAAGAAAGGGAAATTAATTTTCATCTCACATCTAGAAGTTTGGTAGAATGTCTAATTGCCTTTTTTTAAAATCGGCAGCATTTAAACATTTTTTTTTTTTGCATTTAAACATTTTTATAAAAAATTTATTTGCCATATTTAACAATTCATTATTACCAGTGGAATCCATCATGTGCGGCCACCACCAATATCTGTTGTCAATTTTCCATCAATAAGTAGATACTCAATGCTTTCTAAGCAGGAATCTTTTCCCTTCCCTCCTGTCTTATCTCAAGTAACTAGTTTCAGTAAACCAACATTTAAAAAAATATAATTTTATTGGGGGCTCTTACAGATATTATAACATTACATAAAGCACTTATATCAAGCAAACTTGTACATATGTTGTCATCATTTTCAAAACCTTATCTTTCTACTTGAACCCTTTGATATCAACTCCTCCTTTTTTCCCTCCTTTCTCCACCCTCCCACCCTTATGAACCCTTAATAAATTATGTATATTTTTCCCCTCTAAACCTTACAGCGTCTGCTGTATCCCTTCAACCACATTTTTGTTATTCATCCCCTTGGGAGGGGGTAATACATCCATCCATCATTGCTATCAGTTCCCCCCTTTCTCCCCTTTGCCCTTCCCTCCCTGTGCCCTCTTGGTATCTCTACTCCTGTTACTGGTTCTGGGGGTTTGTTGACCTGTCCTGGAATCTGTGTGTCGAAAGCACTTATCTATACCAATATGCACATTCCCTAAACCGACATTTTTAATGAAATGCTAATGTAAATTTTTCTTTTGGGTTTCCCGTCTATCTTAAAATAAAAAAAAGGATGATAGCTAGAGTAATATGAAGAATGACTAAATTTTGATTTTTTTAATTACAGGTTATATCAAGCAGTGAAAATTTTATATTCCTTTGGCATATTTGTGACATATTCAATTCAGTTCTATGTTCCAGCAGAGATCCTTATTCCTGGGACCACATCCAGATTTCATGCTAAATGGAAGCAAATCTGTGAATTCGGGATTAGGTCCATTTTGGTTATTATTACTTGTAAGTATCGCTATTTAAATATGTACAGTAAAATATGGGTAGTGATATTTTTATGGTTAAAATTCTACTTAAAATGTGTATTTTAATATTTACAAAATAATTTCATTCACCTAGCCAGGATACCTTTTTAGTTTAAAAATCATTTATTCTACTTCTGTTCAAGAAAAAACAAATCAGATCCTCAGACACTTAAAAAACACCAACTTTAATTATTTTGAAAATTCATTAGTAATGCTCAATATACAAGTGTATATTTAAATTAGTTATGTAGTGGGCCCATTATATAGATGATATCCATTTTATTTTGGTTGTCATTTTCCTCAGGTTTTTTATTTTTGCTTTTATGTACTTAGCAGCTGAGCAGGGCATGACCCCCTGCAGGTGCACTGGGCGGCTCCGTGTGCACTAGAAATCGTGACTGTGGCATCGGGTAGGTAGGGCGAGAAGACACGCCAAGCTGCACAGAGCTGCTGCACGGGTGGACGGAGGGGAGGGCCTTTCTGTGTCCCGGTAGCTCATGGTGGAGTCAGTGGTGTGAGAAGGCACCATTCATTGTTTGTGTAATTAGAGTAAATCTCAGTGGTTCCACCGTTTTGTTGGTGATACTGTAACAAAAAGTATTCTCGCTCTGGGACTCCTGCGGTCACCGCTCACTTGCAGTGTGACGTAAAACACCCCACACAATGTTTTCTCTCTCTTTTAATCAGGGAACTTTCTGCCTTAAGGACGAATCTGTCTTGAGAACGTTGTTCTGGGAACTAGTAGATGAGCTTAACGCATACCTAACAGGCATTCCCAAGTGACTGCATGTGCCTCACTCAGGACACCTGTTTTCAGGAGCCCTCTGATGAGTGTATCTGCATTTTAGCTTTTTTATGTTCCAATGGCTTAAAGTATATATACCTCTCTTCATTTGAATACTAACAGTATTATCAAATAATGTACCTCAACATTTTTTTCTTTTCCATCTTTATTGGTTGTATAACATTTACAGGATGAATTTATGTAATTGTAATTATACTTTATGTTTTAAAAGGTGTTCGACAAATGAAATTGTAAGGTCTAAGCTCTGTAATGTTCTTCCACATGGCTTTCCAGCATCTCACGTAGTGTGGTGTTCCCTGATCCCTAGATGACTGGAGGAACGCTTCAGGGAAAATGGGTTCCACAGCGGTTTGCTGGAGAACAAGGGTCCAGTCGGGCGTGGCTGGCCTCCTTTTGATGAGTAGATGAGATCTATGCGTAGATGAGACACGGCTCCAGAAAATAAATAAATTTAGTGAATTTTTAAACATCTTCCTTGTGTTCAAGCGTTATGCCTTTATTAGAAGGAAATTTTGAAGAGGTGTAACAAGCATCATTTAATAGAAGAGAAATAAGAGAATTTATAAAGTACTTCTAGCATAGAGTTTTCACTTCTTCTAAATCAGTTTTCTTATTTACAAAGAGCTCAATTGGTTAAAGGAATTTTTATAGTTTGGGCTTTAATAATAATTTAAATAGAAAATAATTTCCCAGAAAGTATATAATTTAGCAAGAGAGACTTAGAAAATCCAAACTATTCTAGCTTGAAGAATAAAATAATTATAAAAAAATATTGAGACTAAAACAAGAAGGAAAACTACTTTATCATTTTAATCTAATATTGATGCCAAAAATTTAACAAAAAAGAAAACAAGTGACCAGTCTCAATAGATAATGAAATAAAGTTCTGAATATAATGTTAGCAGACAGACCCCAGCACCATAGTAAAAGAGTAATTCATTGTGTACAAGTAGAGTTTTTTCCCCCCAGAATAGTAAAGAAGGCTCACTTGTAAGGAAGCCGTTAAAATAACAGATTACCCATATGGATCTCCAGGAGGAAATCCAAATGATCATCTTAAGAAATGTTGACAAGGCATCTGAGAACATTAAAAACCGAGTCTTGATTTCCAGAACCCTGGTAGTGTAGTGGTGACCCGCTGGGCTGCTCACCTTGGCAGAGAGATGAGGTTTCCCCTCCCCTAAAGAGCTACAACCTCGGAAACTCACCAGGGCAGTTCTACCCTGTCCTGTACTCTCGCTAAGAATCAGAATCAACTCAATGGTAGTGAGTTTGAGTTTTGAGGGTCTTTTAAATAATTTTTAAAATTCAGTGAAATATGAGTATGTGGGTAATTTGCGGATATGATGTGGATAGAGGTGTGCATGTACTCTTCAACCTAAAAGCCAGCACGAGTTGTAGCGGGCGACATGGGGTACATTCCCAGTGAAGTCAGCAATAGGACAGGTGTGCTCACAGCCATCCCCTCAATCAGCTGTGATTGATCTGTTGCCATCCCTTCATTGGCTGATTTTCAAGTAGAACACTAGGTCTCTCTAAATAGGGGCTCCCAAGTTACCACTGCGTTAAGTATCTGGCTGCTGACTGCGAGAGAGGAAGTTCAAACCTACCAGCCACTCCACCACTACACAGGAGTAAGATAAGGCTGCCTGCTCCCATAATGATTGGTCTCGGGAGCCCTGGTTAAGGGGGCTATGAATTGTCAATCAACTTTATGTCAGTAGGTTTAGTGGGGTGTTACTACATGCTTTTAGTGCATCATAGAATGAGCTGTATGCCAGGATCATACAAATAGTTTGGAAATAAATGATACAAATTTCTCTACCTGATGTTTCTCAGCAAATAATTAAAAGATGATCAGATAGGAAGCTCTGTAGATGAGTCAGAATACCAGAAATGCTACTGCTTTTTTTTTTCTTTTAATTGTTTTTGTTCGAAAAATATGGCATATTTTTTCACAGACAATAGTTTTATCGGTACAGTCTTAGAATATTTGTATTGAAAAGATTCACCTTTGTTATGTCAATACCAAATATTTGAATGAAAAACACATATGTTCATGTTCCAGGTGCGGTAGCTGTTCTGATTCCTCGCTTGGACATCGTGATTTCCTTCGTTGGAGCTGTGAGCAGCAGCACTTTGGCTCTGATCCTCCCCCCGTTGGTTGAGATTCTCACGTTTTCAAGGGAACATTACAGTATCTGGATGATCCTAAAGAACATTTCCATCGCTTTCATTGGAGTCGTTGGCTTCGTATTGGGGACATACGTCACTGTTGAAGAAATTATTTATCCCACCCCCAAAGCCGTAGCCGATGCCCCACAGCCGCTCTCTTTAAATTTGAATACAACATGTTTGACAACAGCTTTGAAATAGTGGAAGAAGAATGAGGAGTCTTCTCCTTTTATCTTAATTCTGAACATGGTTAAAATAAGAACTTGGAGAATACAGTGTTATATACTTAGAAATAGAACCAAACTTTGTTTAATATGTTGGCAGTAAACCGTAATTCTTTGCCCATATTGGTAAACTGTGTCAGATCCTTTGTTTTAACTATTACAGTAATTTCAAGAAATTTATTTTGGAAATTGACCCCCAAAAAACTAAAGTTAAAAAAGTCAAATGGAACAAAAATAAAGCATAGCAAGGCTTCTATTATTCTTCTCAACCAGAGAGACTTGGGTCAGATTTCTCTCTCACACCCCACTCCTACTTTTCTGCTACCCAGTTCAGAGAGCAGGGTGTTAACATAAGAATGAAATGACGTAGGTCATGTTTCTCCAGGCCATCCAAACATTGTGTATAATTTGAAAATGCCCTGGTTATGTTTATGTTAGCCAGATACTTAAGGTTGGTCAGTGGAAGTATGGATCATTCCCATTAACCGGAACATGAACAGACAGAAACAGAAGCTCACAGCCATGGAGTCGATGCTGACTCGTACCGAACCCGGGACTACACATCAGAACATTTCCAAAGCCAGAATCTGGTCCTTCAGCCTTGTGAGGCTAATCCGGAGGCACCAAAGCAAGGTTCTGACACAGAGGTTCAATCAACTTTGGAAAGGGCTCAGTAGGTTGCCCAGTACAACTTTCTTATTGTTAAGGCTGCACAGCTCTGAGATCAAGAGAACCTTGATTTTAACTCTTGACTCCAGGGCTTTTTGTTTTTCACATCACATCTCAGAAAAAGAATAAATTATGTTCAGGTTAATTTTAATATTGAGTCTGTTTACCGATGTGTTCATACTTTGAAGGTAGGAACTCTTAGAAGCCAGCACTTTGACCATAGAAACCTCAGCCGGGGAAAGAAGCAGTGTGCCTCTGCGCTTGTACACCATCTGCTGGTGAAACTGCTGGGCAGCAGGGTGTGCACAGCTACATCACTTGTGGCTTGGGCTCTCCTTCATGTTTTGTCCCTTTCCTGGATTTTGTACATGCCGTCTTTTTTAATGGCTAGAAAATAAGAAACTGACAAAATGCAGGTTTCATGGTTCTTAAATCTGGGCTATTCCAGTGCCGTGACTGTCCCTATCACAGCCTCTTGCTGAACTGATGCGCAGAATAGCCGAGCCATGAAGGGATTCACACTTAGGAATAATCGGGACAACTATCGACTAAATGCCGCCACACTCCTGTCTTCCCCCAGAAAGCACTTCCTGTTACTCTGTGTTCATGCGCATCTATTTATAAGAACTAGAGAATTTCTGTGAACTCGGGAGAGGGAAATCATTTAATTTAAGATATTAAGGATAGAATTTTCTCCTGATTAAATTTTCTTTTTCAATTTAAAACATTGCTAACTTTCCATCAGGATGGTAGTACTCCATGATCCTGGACGTGGAGCTGTCTCCAAGACCTTGGCAGTACTGCCCAGTCTGTACTTGTGTATGTTTTGTAAATGGTGACTTTAGTGCGAGTATTTTTTGCTTACATCGTTAACTTATCATAGAGTACAATCCTAAAGATATTATCAGCTTTATTTTTTACATTTTTAGGTATTTTTGCACTGGGTATCACAAATAATAGTTGGGATAATTTTATGTTAAATATGTTACATTGAGCTTCTAGTCATACTAAGAGGATGTAGAAATTAAAGCGGGGAAAAAATGACCTTTATTTAAATTCATGCTATACAATCCTGAATTTAAGAATCAATTAAGTGTTTTAATCTTTAACCACTGTGTAATTGAAAGTAGATGTTTGTCATCTATCTACAGAGAACACTTGAAGATCATATGTGATATTTTTATATTTTAATCTGAGGTTTATTTTCATTATGAATTCATAAAATTCAGTGAAGTCTTGACTAGTTGATTATAGCAATAAATTATTTTTAAATCAACATGAGTGCATGTTGAGCACAATATAAGCTGGCATCCTTATACGATGCACGTCCACTGGGTCGACATCCATCCCTAAATCCACGGAATCGGCCAGTACTTGAAGTACAGGAGGAAGTGTGAAATGCAGAAAGGAAAGGTGAGTAAAAGTAAGAAAATAGCTTTAAGAAACACTACTGAAATGTAAAGTATAAATGCTCTCTTATTTAAAGACACTTGTAAGATAGATCTGTTTTATTTGCAAAAATCAGTCATTTCTGTCCTCCGAAAATTTCATTTTAACAAAGTCATAAAGTTTTTTTGTTTTGCTTTTTTGAGTCATCGTTTTTAAACAACTTTCGAAGAGGGTCTTTTCATCCAACTAGCTGTTGCTTTTCATCCGAGTCCTGGAACAATGAAAGTGATGGCCCCTGCCAAATTCCCCTCGGCTCTTTGGGCTGCTACACTCTGGCAAGATGCCTTCAGCACTTCCCCTGCCACACGAAGTGCATCCGGGGTCTGAGAGCTTGGGTGCTCCTGGGGCGGGAAGGGGCCCAGAGGAAAGTTTGCTTACCTCTGATTGGGTCTGCTAGCTTTCAGGAAGGGTTCACCAGTACAGAGGTGATTTGTTGCACACAGTTCTCAAACATGTCTCCTCAGGGCATCTTTGTCCCTACCTGCCAGATTCCTTCACAACTAAAGACATGAGAACTGGGGTGTTTTGGGTTCTTTTTTTCTCACTAAAGACCCGTTTGGATTATCTTACCAAATAAAAACGAAAACTATGTTTCAGTTCCATCCTCACTAGAGTTTTACTGAAGCTGTTCATGCCTCCCAACTAGACAGTGCACTTAAATTTGCACAAGTATTTTACGACACTGCGCATATTGTGAATTTCCCAACAGGCCCTAATTTCATTCAGGATTTCCATAATAGTTGCATAAAAGTGACGAACGAAACACTATGAAATCATAATTGGCATATTTTGAAAACAGTTTTATTGGTACCTAATCCACATATACAACTCAGTCGTTCAGTCATATCAAGACAAGTTGCCCCAGCTTAATGGTAGTTTTACACATTAGAGCTGTTTCTAGCCGTGGCAAAGCCAGGCCTGACTAAGCTCACCAGCGAGTGGCAGTTCGCTGCGGATCCCAGTACAGAGTCCAAGTTCACGGACGAACCTGGAGTAGGTCCTGGCCTTAGGCCTCTTGGTTCATTTCAAGGGGAGGAAACATGGGATTGAGTTGATGGAAATTCTAAATAATATTACTAAAGTTAATAGAGACTGGGTACATATCTGTTAAGGATTAAAATAAAAACTTGCGAATGTTTTAAAAAATCTATTTTGATCTTTTTGTCTTGACTAACTTATTAATTTAAAAACCAAACCTTGATCTTAAAGGTAAGGCAAGATGCCTCCTGACATTAAATGCTGGTTGCGATTGTTAACACTTCAGCATATTACCGCTGAACATGTTTAGGCTAATAGAAATAATTCGGCTAAAAACTTTCTGAACATGGTTAGTTTTGACTTAGAAGATAAGCAAACATGCTTGGGAAATAGTTAAAAATACTTTATTGCCCGATGTGACAAATAAAATGACAAGCCTTCTGATTGTTAAATTTTCATTTTAAAATGATCCAGTTGGCCCTTCCCAACATACACTGTTATGTGAACTACATATTTCCTATTTAAATTGGGTTCAAGAAAATGATATGCTGAAAAAAAGTTACATTGGAAATTGTTCCAATAGATTTTCTTAAAAACAAATAGGAAAATACATGTTTATAACTTGAATAACTTAAGCTGTGGATTTTTATGTTTTTCAATGTGATTTCATTAGTTTGAATGGGAACTATTGCACTTGAGTTCTTTTTATTTTTAGCATACTTCTCTTTATAGTAAAAACTTGTCTTAAAGTACTGTAACTCTTCTGAATTTTCAATAAATAATTATTTACTTGCTAATGCCTTTTAAAATAAATTTGTTCTGATTAGGGTTAATGACACTGACAAACATTACCGGCTGAAATGGCACTAGTTTAATATTCCCATAATTACTAATATTTAAGTCAGCCTTTATATTAAACCTCTGTCCAGCTATCTTCAGCCTTTGATGTTGATAATATTATGTACCTCCAAATAAATTCAAAAGTAGAAGTTGCTATGTAGTGAAAATGCCACACTCAAAACCCTGACCTCCTAAACTGCCTTCTGAATGAATGGAATCTGCAGATGCTTCATAGCGACGTACTTTAACGCTTAAAAAAACACAGTTTGATTGGTACTTCATCCACATATCATGCAATTCAGTAGTTCAGGCATATCAAAAAGAATGATACCAGGCACAGATAAGAGCTCAGGACACACAGCATCCAGATCAGATAAACCCCTCCAGAGCAGGAATGGGAGTAGTGATACCA